GCTGCAACTCCAAATGTGATTTCCCCTTCCTGATTTCACTCCTGCATGCCTGAACAATATTTTTATACTCCTCCCTGGTCATTTGTCCAATCTTCCACTTCTTGTAAGCTTCTTTTTTGCGTTTAAGATCAGCAAGGATTTCACTGTTAAGCCAAGCTGGTCACCTGCCATATTTACTATTCTTTCTACGCATTGGAATGGTTTGTTCCTGCAACCTCAATAAGGATTCTTTAAAATACAGCCAGCTCTCCTGGACTCCTTTCCCCCTCATGTTATTCTCCCAGGGGATCCTGCCCATCAGTTCCTTGAGGGAGACAAAGTCTGCTTTTCTGAAGTGCAGGGTCTGTATTCTGCTGCTCTCCTTTCTTCCTTATGTCAGGATCCTGAACTTGTCCATCTCATGGTCACTGCCTCCCAGGTTCTCGTCCACTTTTGCTTCCCCTACTAATTCTTCCCTGTTTGTGAGCAGCAGGTCAAGAAGAGCTCTGCCCCTAGTTGGTTCCTCCAGCACTTGCACCAGGAAATTGTCCCCTACACTTTCCAAAAACTTCCTGGATTGTCTGTGCACTGCTATATTGCTTTCCCAGAAGATATCGGCGTGATTGAAGTCCCCCATGAGAACCAGGGCATGTAATCTAGTAACTTCTGTTAGTTGCTTTCAGAAAGCCTCATCCACCTCATCCCCCTGGTCTGGTGGTCTATAGCAGACTCCCACCAGTACAAACATATTAAGTCCATAATTCCTTTAAGGAAATAGTATGCAATCTTATTATCTTAAAGGGAGTTACCCAGAGACTTCTATTTCAACACATTAGATTAGATAAAACAGTAAAACAAATATATTAATTACAAAAAGATAGATTTTAAGTGAGAACAAGTATTGCAGCATAAAAGTCAGAAATGGTTACAAGAAAAACAGAGATAAAATGCTTACTAGTATCTATTTAAGAAACTATCTTAGTTGCAAAGCACACTTTTTCACCACATGCTCCAGCAGATTATTGACCAAGGTCAGGACCCCTCCCCCAGAGTCCAATGGCTGTTTCCTTTTGTCTTCTCAGGTGCTGAAAATGATGTGGGCAGGGAGAGAAAGAGGGATCCCTTGGGGTGTCTGTCCCTTCTTTTTATAGTTTCAGTCCCCCCCTTGAAAAATATTTCCAGCTGAGACCCAGGAGACAAAGAGTCCATATGGAAGGATATTCCATGGTGTTTTTTTTTTACCTGTTTGAACTTCCTTTGTTTTCCCTCACTGCTCGATGACTCTGTTTACTGCTTAAATTCAAATTAAGGCAAGCACACATTCCTTCTTTTGTTTAGGACAGACCTGATTTCTGCTTGGGCAGGGCTGTAGAACATGTGTTCATAACATCATACAGGGGAATTTTATAACGTCACATACAATGTTGCCACACATATTTTACCAGTATATTACTGACCAGCAAATTTTGAGTTTTCATATGAAACCTTACAAGGCTTACATTGTACAGAGATTATTAGAATAATGTGTAGAGTGTGAATATAGGGGTGTATTCCATCTCACCCTCCCACCAGCAGTGCTTGCAGCTGAGAGTACATGCCAGGAGGGGGATAAAAGGAACTTTATCTCTATGCTGCTTGAACTCTGGGTGCAAAATGTTTCTAGGCATAAGCAAGAGATCCCCAGCTGCTATGCTTGGGTTACCCTCAAGAACATATACTGCTTGCTTATTATGGAAGCTTCCATTAGTTTTTAAAAATAAAGATTGTATCTCATTTGTGTTTCTATGATTACCTGCTTTAACGTTTTAAATAAATCTTGGATTTTCTTTTCTTATTTAATAAATCTTTATATAGTTTATTATAGAATTGAATAGAAGCCAATTGTCTTTGGTGTGATATCTACAGTGCAATTGACCTGGGGTAAATGACTGGTCCTTTGGGACAGGGAGTAACCTGAATATTGCTGTAATTCTTGATGTCAGGGACTAGCTATCAAAAAGGTAAGCTCATGTTGGTGGTGAGACAGACTAGTACATAAGGGGACTATCTGTGACTCCATGTTAAAGCTGTCATAGTGCCTGAGGTGTTTACACTTGATATTTGTTTAGTGAAATCTAAGTATAGAACTCACAGCCAATTTGGGGTTTGTGCTCTGGTTCCTAATAGTCTGGCCTGAGTTTGGTACTTACTCTCTTGAGTCACTGCAGGCACACAAGCCAAAATAGGGAAAGAACAGGTAAAAGAATGTTTAAATAAGTTGGTAGGGCCTGACAAAATTCATTTTACAGTACTTAAGAAACTAGGTGACGCAATCTCAGAACTGTTAGCAATTTGCGAACTCCTAGGGGATAGATGAGGTCCCAGAGGACTAAAAAAGGGCAAACATAATACCTGTTTTTTAAAAGAGGAACAAGAATAACCTGCGGAATTATAAACCTGTCAGCCTAATTTCAATACCAGGATAGATACTGAAACTAATTATTAAACAATCAGTTTGTAAGGTTCTAGAGGACAATAGGATTATAAAGAATAGCCAGCATGGATTTGTCAAGAACAAAATATGCTAACCAACCTATTTGCCTTCTTTGACAGGGCTACTGGCCTTGGGGAATGGGCGGAAGCGATAGATGTGATATATATTGATTTTAGTAAGGTTTTTGACACAGTCCCACATTACATTCTCATAAGCACAATAGGGAAATGCCATCTAGATGAAATTTGTATAAAATGGATTCACAACTGGTTGAAAGACCTTACTCAAAGAGTAGTTATTAATGGTTCATTCACAAACTGGGAGGATGTATTTATTGGGGTCCTGCAGTGGTCAGTCCTGGGTTCAATATTATTCAATATTTTCATTAATGACTTTGATAATGGAGAGGAGAGTACACTTATAAAATTTGCAGATGACACCAAGATGGGAGGGCTTGCAAGCTCTTTGGAATAAAGGATTATAATTCAAAATGACCTCTACAAACTGGAGAATTGGTCTGAATTCAACAAGATGAAATTCAGTAAAGACAAGTGTAAAGTACCTAGGAAGGTAAAACATCAAACACACAGCTACAAAATGGGGAATAATAACTGGCTAGATGGTAGTACTGCTGAAAAGGATCATGGGGTTATAGCAGATCACAAACTGAATATGAGTCAACAATGCGATGCAGTTATGAAAAAGGCTAATAACATTCTGGTGTGTATTAACAGGACTGTAATATGTCAGACATGGGAGACAATTGTCCCCCTGTATTCAGCACTGTTGAGGTTTCAGCCGCAGTACTGTGTCCAATTCTGGACACCACACTTTAGGAAAAATGTGGACAAACTGGAGAGAGTCCAGAGGAGAGCAACAAAAATGATCAAATGTTCAGAAAACCAGACCTATGCAGAAAGGTTAAACAAACTGGGCATATTTAGTCTTGTGAAAAGAAGACTGAAAGGGGACCTGATAACAGTCTTCAAATATGTTAAGGGCTGTTATAAAGACAATGGTGTTTAGTTGTTCTCCGTATCCACTGAAGGCAGGACAAGAAGTACAGTAATTGGCTTAATCTGCAGCAAGGGAGATTTAGGTTAGACTAGGAGAACCTTTCTAACTATAAGGGCAGCAAAACACTTGACTAGGCTTCCAAGGGAGGTTGTGGAATCCCCATCATTGGAGTTTTTTAAGAATAGGTTGGACAAACACCTGTTGTGATGCTGGCAAACTAGGTGCCAACTTATGCCAAGATCCCCATGTCTCATTTGAATATTGACAAACAGGTAGCTGGAATCAGTATAGCTCACCTGAGTGTTAGTATTATTAAAACAGGAATCAGAATGATAAAAATGTGATTAGTGTTTAGAATTTATCGAATGCTTGTAAGTTTCTGCATGCATTAATCTCACTTACAAAATCTGTATCCCACATTGCAAGGTAATATTTAAGCATTTATATTATAAGCCTCTGTATGTCACCCGACAGGAGAGAAACATTAACTCCTGTTAAATACTAGCCTCCAACAAAAGATGTTATGTCCTGCCTGGCAAAGAAGCCCCATCAACACCAGAACAACTATTGTGGAACATCAGAGGACAAAAGATTCTGTTTATTACTCTTCCCCCATCCCCCATGAATAGGAAACCTTCAAATGAATTCCTTCCAACAGCTGAGTTTGCAACTTAAAGCAGAAGGGAGGAAGGAATCAGAAGCCCTAACAAGGAGGGACTGTACATTTATGCTACTTAAACTCTAAGGGGCAAGGATTACTAAACATAAGCAAAAGTTCCCAAGTGCTTAGCCAGTGTTAGCCCCAAGGAACACATAGAACTTGCTTATTAGAGAAGCTTCTACTACCTTTTGAAACTTAAGACTGTAACTCATTTGAGTGTGTATATTTAGCTGTTTTCATCTTTTCCTAGTTAATAAATGCTTAGATACTTTAGTATAGATTTGGCTACTAGCCTCTTTGATGTGAGACCTAAAGTGCAATGGACCTGGGGTAAGTGACTGATCCTTTGGGACCGAGAGTAACCTGAATATTGCTGTGATCATTGGTGGAAGGGACCATCTATCACAATGGCAAGCTTACCATGGTGGTGAGACAGATTGGAGTATCCAAGGGGACTGCTTGTGACGCCATGTTAATGCTGTTAACGTGTTCAAACTTGATAATTGGTTGGTGAAAACTATATATAGAATTCACAGCCAAAGGGGGGGGGAATGAGAGGGGATTGTGCCCTGTTTCCTAACAGTCTGTCCAGGCTCTTGATTCATTGCAGAACAGCTTGACACCTGTCACAGATGGTATAGGTTTCCTTGGTCCTGACACGGTAGAGAGGGCTGGGAGGTCCTTGCCATTTTTATATTTTCATTATTCTATGATTAATCCATGTTTCAGAGATTCCAGTGATGTGTATCACATAATAGCCAAAAAAATTACTCACGTTCAGTTTCACAATGACCTCCTACGCTCCTTGAAGAGGTAAACATATAATTTAAAAATCTGCAAACAAAGATGAATATGAAATTGGAAGCTTACCTCCCCAGCAGTCTCCTTCTCAGCATGTAAGATGCTACTTCCATTGGCCAGAAATAGCATCCCAGAGCTGTCACTGCACAGAATATTCTCTGCTATCTGGACATTAGGATTCTTCTTGCAATCCGAGGATAAACACAGCTGATATGAATAAGGTAAAGTTCCATCATCATAGTTCAGTGCGAACCTATGGCTAGCCTCTGAATAAGAGTCAGGACCAAAACACTGAAGTAATTTAGGTTTCCCTGAACTTCGCAATTTCACCACAATGACGAGTGTAACGGTCAGGAGGAATAAAAATGAGATCAAGGCTAAAGCCAGCACCAAGTAAAACTGTAAATCAGACTGCGATGCCGAGTCACCCGATTGGTCGCTCATTTCCGGAAGAGCCTCTTGGAAATTCTCAGCAAACACCAGGTTGAGAGTCACTGTGGCGGAGAGAGGGGGCTGCCCGTTATCCTTCACCAGGGTGACCAGCCTGTGCTTCACAGCATCGCTGTCCGCAAAGGCGCGGGCTGTCCGGATCTCCCCGGTATGCAGCCCCATGCTGAAGAGCGTCGGTTCCGTGGCCTGGAGCAGATGGTAGGAGAGCCAGGCATTGTGTCCTGAGTCACCATCCACCGCCACCACCTTAGTCACCAGATAACCTGCCTCGGCCGAGCGAGGGACCATCTCGAACATGGCGGAGCCATCGGCTCCCAGGGAAGGGTACAGGATGCGAGGGGCGTTATCATTCTGATCCAGAATAAACACCCTGACGGTGACATTGCTGCTGAGAGGCGGGGACCCGCCGTCTTGGGCCTTCACTTGCACTTCAAACTCCCGGAATTGCTCGTAGTCGAAGGAGCGCTGGGCATAGATAGCTCCGGTCTGGGAGTTAATGGAGATGTAGGAGGAGAGAGGCAGCTCCTGGAGGTTGCTGCTCAGGATGGAGTAAGTGACTCGGGCGTTCCGGTCCAGATCCCGGTCTGAGGCTTCTACACTGAAAATAGAGGCCCCGGAGGGATTGTTCTCTGGCACATAGGCGCTGTAGGAAGGTTTCTCAAAGACAGGGGCGTTGTCATTGATATCCGAGATCTGCAACAGGATGGTTTTCTGGGAGGAGAGCGGGGGAGAGCCTTTGTCTATGGCTGTGATTGTGATATTGTACACCGGGGTCCTTTCCCTGTCCAGAGTGCTGTCTGTGACAATTTTGTAATAATTATTGGAGGACGATATTATCTTAAACGGCAAATCATCCTGCAAATGGCAGGAGAACTTTCCATTATCTTCAGAATCTTGATCGTTAACATTGATCAGAGCTATCACTGTCCCGGGCAGTGAGTCTTCTGGGACTGGATTGGACATGGATGTTAGTGTCATTTCGGGGGCATTGTCGTTCTCGTCAAGAACCTCGATTTCCACTTTGCAGTGTGTCACTAGTCCGCCTCCATCCTTTGCTTCTACTGCCATGCGATAATCACGTGACTCTTCCAAGTCCAAAGGGTCCTTCACTGTAATTTTCCCGGTTTCTGGGTCCAGACTGAATTTCTGACGGGCTTTTTCTGGAATATTGCTGAAGACGTAGCTGATCTGAGCATTTGAACCTTCATCGTTGTCGGTGGCTTTAACCTGAAGCACTAAGGAGCCCGTCGGTGCATTTTCCCTCAGGCTGACTTTGTAGAGCTCCTGTGTGAAGATGGGGGGATTGTCATTGGCGTCGGTGACATTAATCCATATCTGGGCGGTCCCAGTTCTCTGCGGCTCTCCCCCATCCACAGCCGTGAGGATCAAGTGAAGGCTGCGCTGGCTCTCCCGATCCAGGGGTTTCTGCAGCACTAAATCTGTATACTTATTGCCATCCCGGCTCTCTTTGACTTCCAGGATGAAATCCTGATTGGGGCTCAACTGATAACTCTGCAGAGAGTTCATCCCAACGTCAGGATCTTCAGCATTTCCCAGGAGAAAACGGGCACCTGGTAAAGTAGATTCAATAATCTCTAGTTCGATATTATCTTTTAGGAAAAGCGGGGCATTATCGTTAATGTCCTGGATCGCGACATTTATATGGAAAACATTCAAGGGATTTTCCAGCACAGTTTCGAAATTTATGAGGCAGAGTTGAGATATCCCGCATATCTCTTCCCGGTCTATCCTGTCATTCACATAGACGTTGCCATTTTCTCCATTCACGCTGAAGTATTGCTTTTTAGCTGCAGAGACAACACGGAGCTTCCGGTTGGGCAGTTCTCTCACACTCAGTCCCAAATCCTTGGCGAGATTCCCCACAAGGGAACCTTTGGCCATTTCCTCAGGAATCGAATAACGAATCTGCTCCGAGACCGCCCGGCAGAACAAAGACAATAAGAAGGGAAATAACAGTACCTGCCGTGTGACTGCCCGGCCCGGCTCTCGGCGTCTGATTTCCATCCCGGTCCCTGTCAGATCTGCACTATTCTTGCTGTCTTCTTTGTTTTCATTAATCCCTTCGGGTTGAAGAAATGTGCGATCAAGTAGTGCAAATAGAGTCCTGATTGTCTTCTTAGCTGTACAGAGCGCTCTGTGGCGGTTCCTTTTTCTCAGCCGGACTGTGAAGGTCTCTCTGTTGTTTCCTCTGCGATCTGCGCTGTGTGACGGAGCAATCGCACTTCAGGAGGCTCGGATGGATCTCCGGCTCCAGCCCTGGCTCCGCATTGGCCAACAGCGGCACTCCGAGTCTCAGCCCGAGAACTGCAATAGCAGTGATTTTATTATGGGCGACGAAGCAGCACTAGGACTCTCGTGGGAGATATTTTTTTTCTGTTCAAAATGTATTCTAAGTGTACAGTTTTGTAAAACGATTTCTCTTAATTGTAAACAAATGAATCACAGATGAGATGTAAAAGTCTCGACTATAAATACTGTGTACGTATGTTTGTGTGTAGCCATTCAAGGATAGTGCAAATCTCGGACATTATTGAGTTTTCTGTATCGTTTGTGTGTATGTGGTGACAGTGATTCTTTCAGTATATTTATATTTGTATATCTGAATATGAATAGGTAGGAGAACTTTCCAACATTCACAACAAGTTCTATTTAAAGAATCACATCTACCACAATCACTAATACCCGTGAGACACAGCCAATACTGTTTGACAGAGTCAGCATTTTTAATACGTGAATGACATGAGCGCACATGAGTAGCAGCGGGCTCTAACCCTCAAAGTAAACTTCTGAACTAAGCCATTTTCTGAGTTAGCTTTAGAGTCTTATTGCCCGTTTTAGCTTCTCTTTTTCCTTCAAACTATTTGGTCCACTCAGAATACACAGAGTGTTTCTAAAGCAACAAAGGAAAGTTTCCATTCTCAAATTGTACTATAAATACACACTAGGCAGAATTCTCCTACAGAAACAGACTGCACTAAAAAGCACAGTAAAAGGTTTCCAAACATACCCTGAAGTGTTCCAGATTTGAAGCATCTCTGGAAAGGTAAAATCAGTCCTAGTAAATCCGTATATTAAAAATTGCCCTACGATGCAAAGATAAAATAATACTGTCAAATATCCGTACACCACTGACTGATAAGTTATCTATAATCGGTCCACTCACCGTGGAAATTTCAGTTAGACATTTTAAAATTATTCTTAATCCATGTGGTGTTGAAAAACATATCTCTTCCTAGATAAACGTGACTAAGAAATGTTAGAATATTTCTTCTAATACTAGCTATGTTTAAAAGCATTAGTATAATCTGCCACACATATATGGCAACTTCTCAGGGCCCCAAACTAGGACACAAGAATATTATTATTACAAGACATGGAAAAATGTTCAAATAGTATCTTCATCCTAAATAACTATTTATAACTGTTGCTCCCTTTTCACTCCAGCTGCTCGTCAAATTTCTGGGCCCTGGGGAGGTTTCAGCTGGAAGCAGAAGTTGATGGAGTCTGGTATTTTCTTTGATGCAGACTTATTTATTTACAGTGAATGTACAAAGACCTTCTTCTCCAAAGACAGGAGGACCGAAGGAAAAAAGGATCAGTTTCTAAGTTTATAGACCCAAGACTCTTTAGCCAACACCAGACTCAAAAGTTCTCTCAGTTTAGTGTCTGTACGTTATGCCTCTCCTCCACCCCACCACACAAACATTACTCAGCAACAGCCCTCCTCCCACTCACTCCAAACTTCCGGGTGGGTTCACAACCCCTTTTTGTTTTAGGTGAGGGGCTTCCCATTAACTTATACTGACAGCTACGTTACTTTAAAAGTGTATTCACACCCAGTCTCAAAGAGGTTTATGATGGCTGCAGTCACCAATACCTCTCAGAATAACATAACCTTAATTTCCTCATGGATTTTGAGGGCATATAGTTTGCAATAACATCGAATTGGAATTCAAGTAAGCTGATTTGTAAATTAAAATAATATTGACAGCCAAGCAGATACCTATTCACTCTGCTTTAAAACACCGTTCATATTCTCTGCCAATCTTTTTTTAAAATTATGCCTTTTAAAAATATGAATACCTTTATACTATTTCAGGCAATGAAAAGTATCCGTTATAATAGATAAAGATAATGCCAGGTTTTAAATGAATTATTATTTCATCAGTAAAGTGAATTAAGATATGTCTTTTCTGTGACACAAAACAAAATTTATAAGGTCTGACCAAATGCTCCGGGAGTTACAATGGTTTCCAAAACACTTCCAAATGAATTACATGTGCATTATGCTGAATATAACACCCCCTCCTGTACATTTAGAATATTGCTATATATTCAAAAGTCCTTATATCTAAACACAAATAAGAAAGCGCCAAAATATCTGCTCACCTGAACAGAGGTCTCTTCCCCGTTATTAATGTATAACTCTTCAGTCATTAGAATAGGATTCTTTATCTCGGAAGTCTGCTGACTAGTCAGAGTATTTGAATAGTTTGATTTGGGAAAGTTGAATTGGCTCTTTCTGGAGTCCGTGGTTAGAGAAACCTCATGTGAGTAGGAGTGAAGAAAAGCTCTGACTCCATCGAGCCCCACAAACTGCGAGACCGGAACTCCACTGAAAGTCACACTCGAGGAGTCAAACAGCTGCGAGTTTCTCCACCGGCGGAGCCTCAGGGCCAGTAACACTATGATAAAGATAAAGAACAAGCAGGAAACGGAAGCCACAGCGATCACCAAATACAAGGTGAGGCTGGACTGGGGATCTGCAGGCGCTGAGAGGCTGCTTAAATCGGAGAGGATTTCGGGGATGCTGTCAGCCACCACCACTGTGACAGTGACCGTGGCAGAGAGAGGGGGCTGCCCGTTGTCCTTCACTAAAACCACCAGACTTTGCTTGAGCGCATCTTTGTCGAGAAAGTAGCGCGTTGTCCTGATCTCGCCGCTGTGGAGTCCCACAGAGAAGAGCCCCGGCTCTGTAGCCTTCAGCAGCTGGTAGGAGAGCCAGGCGTTCTGCCCGGAGTCTGCATCCACCGCCACCACCTTAGTGACCAGGTAACCCGGCTCGGAGGAGCGAGAGGCCAACTCCACTCCCGTGGAGCCATCGGTGGGAAAGGAGGGGTGTAAGATTTGCGGGGTGTTGTCATTCTGATCCAGTATAATGAGAGTGACGGAGACATTACTGCTGAGAGGTGGGGAACCCCCATCCTGAGCCTGCACTTGGAACCGAATCTCCCGGAACTGTTCGTAATCGAAGGAGCGCAGAGCGTAGAGAGCCCCAGTCTCGGAGTTAATGGAGATGTAGGAGGACAGCGGAGCTTCCTGTATCTGACCCTCGGTAACAGAGTAAGTGACTCTAGCGTTCTTCCCTTCGTCGGGGTCATTGGCCTTCAGGGAGAAAACGGAGGCTCCTCTCGGGTTATTCTCCGTGACGTAGGCGGTGTAGGATATTTTATCGAAGAAGGGGGCATTGTCGTTCGTGTCTAAAATCCGGAGTGGGATCGTGGTGGTTGTAGAAAGAGGAGGAGTCCCATTGTCCGTGGCGGTCACTGTGATGTTGTATGCTGCCACCTGCTCCCTGTCCAGGGCTCGGTCAGTCACCAGACTGTAATAATTATCGAAGGGTTTCTTCAGCTGGAAGGAGAGGTTGCCGGGTACGGAGCACGTGACCTCCCCGTTCTCTCCTGAGTCTGCATCTTGCACATTTAAAAGGGCGATCACAGTCCCGGGGGGAGAGTCCTCGGGGATCGAGCTGATGAAAGACCTGAGAGAGATTTCCGGAGCGTTGTCATTCACATCGCTAACAACGATTATAATTTTCGATTTGTCGAAAAGACCTCCCACGTCATGCGCTTGCACCTCAGTTTCATACAATGCAGCTTCCTCAAAGTCCAGTTTCCCCACGACTGTTATTTCACCCGTTTTCGGGTCCAAGTGGAACATTTGGGGAGCTTTGTCTGTGGTTTTTTGGAAAGAGTATTTCACCTCTTTGTTGACTCCTTCATCCAGGTCAGTGGCTTTTACTGTAACAACCGTGGAACCTTCAGGCACATTTTCCCAAACGCTCACTTTGTAGACAGGCTGGCTAAAAACCGGGGCATTGTCATTAGAATCGAGAACAATAACGCGGATTTGCGCAGTGCCGGATCTGACTGGATCTCCCCCGTCTGTGGCTGTGAGGATTAGATTGTGAACGGCTTGTTCTTCCCGGTCTAGAGACTTTTCCAGCACCAGTTCAGCGTATTTTATTCCATCAGATCGCGTTTCTACATCCAGTAAGAAATGCCTGTTACTGCTGAGTTGGTAGCTCTGGATGGAATTTAGTCCCATATCTGGATCCTCTGCCTGACGCACAGAAAACCGTGATCCTGGCGCTGTTGTTTCACTGATTTTTAACTGGAATTCTTCTGACTGGAAGCTGGGAGCATTATCATTAATATCTGTGATTTGAACTTCGACCGGAAAAAGTTTCATTTTATCCTCCACTATAACTTCACAGTTTAACAAACACTTCTGCACTCGACCACATATCTGCTCTCTGTCTATTCTCTCCGTGATGTATAAATGGCCGCTCTTGAAATCTAAAGCAAAGTACTGAGTCTTACCTCCGGAAACAATACGGACTCCGCGGTCTGAGAGTTGCTGTACATCCAGCGCCAGATCCTTTGCGATATTCCCCACAAAAGACCCTCTCTCCATTTCCTCCGGAATAAAATAGCGAATCTGCCCAGAAACTGCCTCCCAAACGGTAACCAGTATCATGCAGAACAGGGCTTGCCCTTTGCAGTCCCGGAGCCTTTGTGCATCTGCAGTTCCCATGGTAATGTGGAAATGCCGCCGATTCGTCAGGGAATGTCTGCCAAATGTTTCCGAAAATATCGGGTGTTAAACAATAAGCCTATTTCAGCCGGTATCGTCCATTAATGCTTAGTCCAGAGAAACCCGGTGAGTGAGAGTCTGATCTCTGTGCTCTGTGCTGTCTAACAGCGGTGCTGGGCTGGCTGGATCTCTCTTCGCGTCTTTCTCCCTGATTGGTAAACAGCGGCGCTCAGAGTCTCAACCAATTACTGCAGAAGCTCTGCGCTGGAATTTGTAGATTTGTATTTATATTTGACACTTATTTTTTAAAATATGCTGCGTTCTTTTTATTAGGCAAATATGAGTCTGATATATGCACAGGAAATCCACAAAACTGTTGTCAGTGACGAATCTTTTATTCCTTAAAAGACTTACTGATAATATTTTTGTAATTTTAATCTGACTGCATATGAATTAGACATATCTCCATTTTCCCCTTGAGTTATTATGTATATATGTAGCTTTTAAATATAAGTGATTTTTTTAGGCTTTCACTCACATACTGTGCAATTGTTATATATCAATATCTTCGTTTAGTAACCTTAGATTTGATATATATCTCTGCAGCATTAAGTCAAATTTTGTTCACATTTCAGATATTTTGACTTGGTCAGATTCGTCATTTAATTACCAAACATGAATTACCAAATCAATGGGTGAAATGAAATTTTAAGTGTTATCTATGGGTAGACTTTGTCAAATGGGTACTATAAAACAATTCCTACTCTGTGTATTTCCCAGCCTGGTAGTTTTCAAGTTCAGTTTCCTAATATCTAGTCTAATTTTCCTTGATAATGCTACCACAAGAAGAACATATATGCCAATAATGCATGAAGTCAAAATATGAAACGAACACGTGTGTATATATATACACAGAGCAACATAGACATATACACAGATACATATCACATATGTGGTAGTAATATCCATTTGATAAATTACGGAGCCAAGAGATGAATAAGATCACGTTTCTTCAATTTGGCATGCATCTTTGACCACTTCAACTGCACTTTGAGCACTACTGCGTGCCTTTGAGGACAACCTATGTTCTTATGTTCTAACTTCTACGATTTCCAAACCGCGGAGTCCTTCAAAAATGCGACATTCTGAAATATAAGCATTCCAGGGAAATGTTTCCTTCTTCCCCTCAGTTGTGGAGTATGCTCCTCCCCCGCTGAAATATTTAAACTAACCCCAGAGCCATGATAGTCAATATTTAATCATGCTTCAGTGACAATTCTAAGGATCGATATATCGAGATTCTGGAGGGCTATTAGTATATCTACGCTATTGAAAAATAAGTGTTTAACATGTCCATTGGATTCAGTATTTGCTCCTAGCTCTGGAAAGTGCAAAGAGGGCCAACTCCAGAACATATCATGTATATGCATTTTAAGGATTGTTGTGGCTCTTATGATCTGTGAATATTTGGATTCTCGGTAGCCAAGAAAACTTGGCTTGACAAGAGCAGATAAAAACAGAAAAATACTCTACAACATTTTAAAATCTGTGAACTATTTGTAAAATATTTCCACTATATAAATTGTGTGGCATATACAGAATACATTATGACATTTTGTGAGGTTTTTTTATCATCACATTTCAGGTGCCCTGCATAATTACGGCATTGCTCTACCACTGATAGGAAATAAAATCATAAACAATTATGCCCTTATATGACACCATATCCCAATATCATGCTATAAAAGTCTCAAGAAAAATATGAAAAGTCGGTCAAAATATTTAAATACTTGTGATTATAACAGCCACCTAAGATCGTAAAGAAGAGGTGCTCAAAAAGCATATAGAAGAGCATTAAAGAAAATTTACATATTAAAATTAGATTACTTTAATATTTTTGTCTTCTTTGGAAGAAATACATCATATCTGAGATGCATAAATATTTCTACATAATGTACTTATTTCAGTTAGACCTTTTGTAATGAGAGAAACGAGGCTCTGATTTGGAAAGTAAGAATGGACGTGCAATTAAGGAAGTGGATAGGGAATTGGGAAGATAGAGTTTTATCTTAGATTCAAATGCAGAATTCCTCTGTTACATACCATTGTGTCTCATTTCGTCATCTATAAACGGAGATAATATTTCTCTGCCATGCAGGAATTTTTGTTCTGAAAACAAATTCACTTATATATGTGATACCTCATCCACTATCGAGATAAAAGCGAGATACACCTAAGAACATTAAGGCAGTATTTCACAATGACTGCCTACGATGTAAAAATATCAGATTACGCATGAAGAAAGAAGCTCACCTCCCCAGTAGTCTCCGTCTCAGCCTGTAAACTGCTACATCCATTGCCAATAAATGGCATCCCAGAGCTGTCACTACACAGAATATTCTCTGCCATTTGGGCATTGGGTTTCAGGAAGGTACATTTATTCCTCGTTAAATCTGAGGACAAACACAGCTGGTAAGTGTAAGGCAAAGTCCCATCTTCATAGCTTGGTGGGAACCTGCGGCCGGTATTTGAATAAGGGTCAGGACCAAAACACTGAAGTAATTTGGGATTTCCTGACCTTCGCAATTTCATCAGAATGACGAGTGTAACCGTCAGGAGGAACAAAAATGAGATCAAAGCTAAAGCCAACACCAAGTAGAACTGTAAATCAGACTGAGGTGCCGAGTCACCCGATTGGTCGCTCATTTCCGGAAGAGCCTCTTGGAAGTTCTCAGCAAACACCAGGTTGAGAGTCACTGTGGCTGACAGAGGCGGCTGCCCGTTATCCTTCACCAGGGTGACCAGCCTGTGCTTCACAGCATCGCTGTCCGCAAAGGCGCGGGCTGTCCGGATCTCCCCGCTGTGCAGCCCCATGCTGAAGAGCGTCGGTTCCGTGGCCTGGAGCAGATGGTAGGAGAGCCAGGCATTGTGTCCTGAGTCACCATCCACCGCCACCACCTTAGTCACCAGATAACCTGCCTCGGCGGAGCGAGGGACCATCTCGAACAAGGCGGAGCCATCGGCTCCCAGGGAAGGGTACAGGATGCGAGGGGCGTTATCATTCTGATCCAGAATAAACACCCTGACGGTGACATTGCTGCTGAGAGGCGGGGACCCGCCGTCTTGGGCCTTCACTTGCACTTCAAACTCCCGGAATTGCTCATAGTCGAAGGAGCGCTGGGCATAGATAGCTCCGGTCTGGGAGTTAATGGAGATGTAGGAGGAGAGAGGCAGCTCCTGGAGGTTGCTGCTCAGGATGGAGTAAGTGATTCGGGCGTTCCGGTCCAGATCCCGGTCTGAGGCTTTTACACTGAAAATAGAGCCCCCCGAGGGATTGTTCTCTGGCACATAGGCGCTGTAGGAAGGTTTCTCAAATACAGGGGCGTTGTCATTGATATCCGAGATCTGCAACAGGATGGTTTTCTGGGTGGAGAGAGGGGGAGAGCCTTTATCTGTGGCTGTGATTGTGATATTGTACTCCGGGGTACTCTCCCTGTCCAGGGTGCTGTCTGTGAGGAGCTTGTAGTAACTGTTTGACGAAACCGCTATTTTAAAAGGCAATTTGTGTTGAATGAGACACGTGACTTCTCCGTTTTCTCCCGTATCTTGGTCACGAACTTTGATCAAAGCTATCACTGTGCCGGATACTGAGTCTTCAGCTACCGGGCTGGACACAGATGTAAACGTCACTTCCGGGGCATTGTCGTTTTCGTCAAGTATTGTTATTTGAACTTTCGAGTGAGCGGACTGGCCACCCCCGTCCCTGGCTTCTACGCCCAACGTGTATTTATGTGTGTCTTCAAAATCTAGAATCCGTGTATTTGTAATTCTTCCTTTCTCAGGATCTAAATAAAATAACGAACGCGCATTATCTGGTATGTTGCTGAATGAGTATGTGATTTGGGCATGTACCCCTTCATCCTGATCCGTGGCTTTCACCTGAAGCACCAAGGAGCCCCGTGGTAGGTTTTCCCTCAGGCTGACTCTGTAGATCTCCTCGGTAAATACGGGGGGATTGTCATTGGCGTCAGTGACATTAACCCTAATCTGAGCAGTCCCGGATCTGACTGGATCTCCGCCATCCACGGCCGACAGGATCAAGTGATGAGAGTTTTGCTTTTCGCGATCCAGAGATTTTTCCAGCACTAATTCTGGGTATTTATTTCCCTCCGGGCTCTCCTTCACAACCAGGGTAAAATGCGGGTTCTTGCTGAGTTGGTAATTCTGCACTGAGTTGACCCCAACGTCTGGATCTTGCGCAGATTCTAGTGGAAACCGCGCACCAGGCAATGCTGATTCAATAACTTCTAAGTCAATGTTGTTTGTCTTGAACCGCGGGGCGTTATCATTAATGTCCTGGATTGCTACATTCACATGGAAAACATTCAAAGGATTTTCCACCACCGTTTCGAGTGTCAGGACACAAAGGGGTGTCTCCCCGCATATCGCCTCCCGGTCTATCCTGCCATTCACATACAGGTTGCCATTTTCCCCATTCACACTGAAGTATTGCTTTTCCGAACTGACACGGAGCTTCCGCTGCTGCAGTTCTCTGGTATTTAATCCCAAATCCTTGGCGAGATTCCCCACAAGGGAACCTTTGGCCATTTCCTCAGTTAGGGAATAACGAAAGTGCTCCGAGACCGCTCGGCAGAACAAAGACAATAAGAAGGGAAACAACAGTACCTGCCGTGTGACTGCCCGGCTCGGCTCTCGGCGCCTGATTTCCATCCCGGCCTGTGCCAGATTTACTCTCTCCTTTCCTTGTTTGTTTTGGTTACATCAGATGTTTACAAATCCCATCAGGGCAAAGGAATCCGCGGCAGAGGGGTAAACGTTCTCGTATTGTGTGTTCTAACAGCCGTTCCCTTTTCTCAGCCGGACTGTGAAGGTCTCTCTGTTGTTTCCTCTGCGATCCGCGCTGTGTGACGGAGCAATCACACTGCAGGAGGCTCGGATGGATCTCCGGCTCCAGCCCTGGCTCCGCATTGGCCAACAGCGGCACTCCGAGTCTCAACGGGAGAACTGCAATAGCAGCGATCTTATCAAGGCGCCGGTGCAGCTCTACTCACAATCATGCATGTTTTGTGTTTTTTTCTTCTAATTTGCATGGAAATGCAAAACATGTAGTAAAGTAAAAGCATTGCCGTGAAATATAAACAATAGTGTTTCTTAACATAAGTATAAATGTAAAATCTAAATG